GAGATACATGTCACTTAGAGATCAAGAGCACACATAAGCTCCACGGAATACTTGAATAATTTTTGGCTGTCTATGGAAAGAGTTTAGCATTTCCTTCTGACCAGCTCTAAACTTCACACAAACCTTGAAACTAGGGGGTTTTGCTCATTTCTCTGCTTTCAGGAACTCATCTTGGCTGTTCTTACACCAAACTGATTTCCACCCAGGCAAAAATAATTCTAAAAGAACAAAAATCACTTAAAAGATTTCTCTCTTTTTGTGAGGAAAAAAAGTGCCCATTCCTTTCACAAAGTGAAAAACAAAGAAGCAAATACCACCTCCTCCAGCCTTTCAGAAATTAATTCATCTTAGGTATCAGATGTCATAAAAAAAAATTTCTACATTTTTCCAGCATTGACTTTTTTGTTTCCTCAGTAGTAGTCATAAGGGAAATATAAGTAATTATGTGAATTCTCATAAACTACATCCTAAACAAAAGCATAAGACCAGATACAAAGCTTTTTTTTTTTTTTTTTTTTGTCTCAGCTAAGCTGACAAAAGACATCTAGTGTTAAACCACATTTTGCTCCTACTGTTCATCTTTTTTTGGTAACATTTGCCTTCAAGACATGAGACAATACATTCAAAGTGAGAACTCTCTTCAGTTTAAGACACATTCTATATTCACACTGAATGTGAGAATTACAAAGACAGAATGGGATGCAGTTGTAGTCTTATTTGCATGAAAAAATTCAAATTGTTCTCCTGACTGTCTTCTATCGTAACACTGTTGCAGACTCTGATACAGACACAGTTCCAAAGATGTTGGTATTTTTGAATGAACTTCTTATTTGCATGTTTTAGAGCTCAAGTTTGCTAGATAAAGCAGTCAACGGGCAATATGAAAGTGTAATAGTGAAAAAGCACATAGAAAAAGGTGTAATTCTGAGACCATGTCCTCCTCCATAGTCTTACTACATGTGCAGCTGACTTTGTTTTGCTTAACAAGTTAGAATATGCTAAAGACAGATCATTCAGTTTATAGAAAGTGTGAATCTCATCAGCCATAAAGAAGAAAGACAATATATGAGATACTAGAAAATATATTTTTAAAATAATATAATAAAAAATACAACAGACATTTGCAATATGTCTACGTCAAACTATGGTTGCTGGAGTAGATAAAATATAAAAGATCCATCCCAGGAAGGCATGTTGATTAATTTTTCTTTTAGAAATTAGTAGCTTTGTACTGGGAGAATTAAATCTGCAAAGACAGTATGGAAAAAAAGGCCTTTTAAAATAGCTTGACTATCACTCAAAACCTGAAAATGCCCTCTTTCTGTCCCTACAGGTGCAAGAATAACACCTTGCTTACTAAATCTTGTACTCTGATAACAGTATCTACGAGATCTCACATATCATACTACGTGTCAGTCTTTTCAGTTCAGTGTTTTAGCAAGTGAATCTGCTTAATTTATTCATGTATAAACATTGCCTTAATATTAGGATAAATCCATGAATCACTGTGCTTTAGTTTTTCTAACTCCAAACAACAATTTGAAAAAAATTTTTCATTTCACAGTGAAACATTTCAGATTCATCCCAATGATGTTCCAGTTAAAAAGTAAAACATTTTTTTTTAAGAAATATTTGTAGGTTATTTAAGAAAAGTTTCATTTAAGAGTTTTGAAAATCAAAAGGTAGAATTTTAAATTTTTTTTTTCATATATCCTTTGTTATTTATAAAGTTGATTTTGGATATTTGGGTATTTTAAATCTTCTACTATAGTCTGTTTAGTATGGATGAAAAAAGTACTTATTTTTTTTAGTATATCCTTCCTCAAGATAAAACAGTTGACAACAAGTTTTAATTAAGTTTTTTGTGGACTTTGATTTTTTATTTTTTTATTTTTTTAATCAGAATCTATATCTTCCCCTTCAGTCAGAAAGGTTTACTCCATTGGAAAGTTGTTACAGCTTTATTTCTCATTGGCTGTACCTTTACCTATGCCTCAGCAGCTATGAGAACCTCCCTACAGATTATTTCCTCTCACTGCTTCACTCACACCATAGAGGAGACCTCTGTCAGTGTCAGTGTGGAAGGAGCCCTTGACCATGTATGTGGATACATGCCAGTTCAGAGCCTAATATTACAACCCACGCAGACCCTAAAGGCTGGACCCTTAACAAAGCATGCTGTCATTAGCACCAAAGGAAAATTTTGTCACAGAATTAGGTTATCATTTTCAAAATGTGTGAGCGCTAAAGAGGAATAAAGTATTTTACCAATGATTTTGACTGCTGGCTGACAGCAGAGTGATTCTCCAAAACACTAATCTTGGAAGACGGTATGCTGTAATATTCATAGATGCTTGAGCCTCACACCCCTTACACATTTCTGGAAGAAGTGTGATTGTTTTTTCCTCCTTATCTTAAAAATTCTTGTACTTATTCTGCCTTTTCTAGTCCCCTTGTTCTTATTCTCATCCCATTTGCAGTGTTTTTCTATCTTCTACTCTTCAGTCTTTCCCACTCTCAGTTTGACCACAAAGTAAAACTTATTCTGTTTTTTCTATCTGTCATGATCTCCAGCCCTCGTGTTCCTCCTTGCCATGTGGTTCCCCTGTCACTTTTCAGTCACTTCACCACAGTCTCTTCACACAACTATGTCCATTTTTCTCCTCAAGCTCTTTGGTCAACTTGTACATCACCTATTTCTTCTTCCAATCATCCTAAGAATCACCTGTCCCAGGCATTTTTCTAGATTAGTGTTCATCTCCTACCATGACAGACCACTCTTTTTTTGCTTGGGCAGTCACAGTCTGCACCATGGCTTCCCATCTCAGCATCATCACCCTTGACACAAAAGTCAGATGTTTTCTGCCCTCAACATTGCCCCTCTGGCCTCCTACGATACCTACACTTTTTAAAGAAAAGATTTTTTTTATACCAAGAAAATAAAACCTTTTTTTTTCCTAGTTGTTTTTATGGGTTTGTTTTTGGTTTTGTTTTTTTTGGGGGTGCGGGGGGGGGGAGGGGGAGGCGGGTTAAATATGCCTACATTGTTCTTTTGGGTTCTTTGCCAAAAAATAATCTCAGCCTGCAGCTAATTTCAGCACTGGAAGTTTCACCACAGGTAGTTAAATATGGTAACAAGTTACTGGAATTAGAGTCTTGTGAAAGGAAGTAGCCGGCAAAGTTATTAAAAGTAATTACTATCATCTCTATATCTCCTGAGCTTCTTCTTTATCCTACATTTTCCTGATATTTTCTGAAGACAGTTGATAAGTAGCAGGCTATATAAACAACTGAATGTCGCTTCAAAATGTTGCACTCAGTATAAGCACATACTTGCCAAACAACAGGACTCATTTTACAGACACTATAGGTATCTCAGAAATAACACAACCAAGGGTGATCTTTAGCATTACACATTCTAAATAGACATAAATTTTAGATTTTTTTTCAAACTAATCATATTCTGTGCCTATTTATCAAATTTAGTATTACAGCCCATGTAACTAGTTTGTGGCTGTTGGCCAAGTTTGCTCTTTCCCTATCCCTCCACAAATTTAGTGGCTTTTAACAACAGACTGCAGGTCAGATTTTCAAGTAAAATATACTTCTTTTAGTTAGATTTACTCACAAAAGTTACCTTAGCTCAAGAATGGAGTAAGTCTACTTGTTGAAACTCTAACATATCCCTGAAACTTTCTGATCTTGCCCAAGTGCCTCGGTAAAATGGCCAGTGGTAGAAGACAGAGCACATCGACAGCATGCACGTAGTCCGTGGCTTGTCAGGCCTTGGTCTGTCACACTTGAGCTGTGAGCTCTAGTCATGAGAGTTGCTTTGTCTCTGTTTTCTCAGATTCATCTCACAGAATAACATCAGAAATACTGGAAAAATGAGAGAAAAAAATGTTTCCGTTCTTAGATTTAGTAGAAAAGCAGTAAGTCCTTTGCAGAAGGATCTGATTTCCAACTCCATTTTGAAGTGTGCTTTTTAGATACCAAACACTTAACCTTTGCACAGGTTGGGCAAGAGGACCACAGAGGATAATATAAGTGGATTGAATACACTGGCACTTCTGACACACCACTCTCTGTTCAACCACTTACTGTGACTTGGCAGTAAATAAATAAAACCTGCATCTCAGTTTATAACACAGGGACCCTGGAGTCCATCTCGGTTTAGAACTGCCACCGGGAACAGATAATTTTTTTTAATATGGGATGAACAGTAGTGGAAAGAAAAAGTTATCAGAAAATCAATTGCATGAAAACTAACTTGTTTCAGATGCCAAAATTCCTCCAATCATTTTCCCCAACACATAACTGACTAATAGTTATCGTTTAAAATCTTGTCAATGTCAATCTCAGAGTGCAAAACTCAGCTTTTGGAACAAATTAGGTCAATTCCGTCTGTGCTAATGTGTTTTTGAAAGCTTTTAAAACTTAATGGAAATAAGTGCAACTAAACAGGCTACTTCTCAAAAATCGAAAGGGAGAAAACCTCCCTGAATGTGAAAGACTAGGAATGAAGTACTGTCACTTATGATCCCTTTATTGAGTATAAAAGATAATTCATGTGAAGCCTAATAAAATATGTCATTATCAGTATTAGATGTGAGTCATTCTGGAACTCCACAATGTATCTGAAAGTGGATGTGAAATATAAAATCAGAAAATATATGTGTGAATGTGAGGAGCTTCCATTCAGCTATCCCAAAATGCAATTATTCTGGGAGAATTAGGACTATAACACTAGAAGAATAATGGGTTTAAATGTGAAATTGTCAACAATTTCTCATCTTGTGCTGCAAAGATGACTCATTGAGCCTTTTACCTAAAATCTTGTTGATATGTGGAACCTGGCTTTTGATCACATTAGAGTTTTGTGCTGTAACTCACTTAATGGTAATGAAATTATACAGATATTTTCTGAAAGAACATGGAATAGACTCATTGCCCCAGTTTGGAAGCCATATATATTAACCATCTCTTCCTTGTTTTCCTAGCTCCTGTCCGCTACTTTCAATGTGTCTTCCTAAATGGACCTAATGGATTTGGACTGCAATTTCCCTCTAATCCCCCTTCAAACAAGGAAGAAAAGACTCACTCAAAGACTTCCAAGAGAAAGACAAGGAAACCAGGGCAGTAGAGGGACTGAGTCTTGTGATCACTCACATTTTGCACTTTATCTTTTCTGCTGAGGTCCACAGTAGTTACAGTGGTACTTGTCATTGCAAGCATGTGATCCACTCGGATACATGTGCCTGGAAAAGTTTCCATGGGGCAGAGGCAAAACAAGCAGTAATGAACTGTGTTTGACAAAGGTAGAAATGTAAAAGTGCCCCATTTCTCATGGAAAGGCTGCAATGCTAACAAAGCATTGACCTGATGGTGTGTGTGAGCATGTGTGTGTGTTTTCCTGCCTCTTTTGCTCTTGTTTTTCTTTACCTACCTGTTCACCATACAAGTGAGTCTGTTTTCCATTTAATCTTATCTAGGGAGTGAAAAGTTGAATGTAGCTCTTATATCAGCAAGATTGCAAGTCTACCTGCAATCCTAAATCATTTCCTCTTAACGTTCAAACAAATTGCTGACAGGAAAAAGTCTCACTAAGTCATGAAAATGTGCTCTGTGACTGGTGCTATTTTTATGTCTCATTGACCAGTGTAGCCTGAAGCTCACACTTTCTCGGAGCAGCTCAATATTCTGTCAGTAAGTTGACTCTGCAAGTCACATTAATGATGAATATTTCTATTTAACTTGAAGCAGCAAAAGCATGGTCTCTTTGTCCTGCCTGTTGGTGAAATACAAACTCTTCACTTCCTAAAGCCCAAAGTGAGCAGAGAAAGTGAAACAAAATGGCAAAGGTGAGGAAAACCAGTGTTTTACCAACATGAAGGCCCCAAGAAACAAATTTAATAATTTTAGTACTTCTCCTTTTCTTCTGTGGGTAAATCAGATCGACTTGCAGTGAAGACCATATAAACGGAAAATATACTGGCCAACCATTTGCTATTAGCAAAAGTTAGAAGAACAACCGTGGTGTGAAACTAAGGCAACCCAAATTTCCAATAGGTAAACATGCCAATTTGATGCAATCTCAGATCAGTGAACAAAAAAACCCAAACAAATTAAAACAAAACAAAAGAACAAACAAAAAGCAATCAAAAAGTCACCAAACAGAATTATATTAAGTCATCTGGGCAGCTGATGTTGCTAGATGAAATGTAAGGACTTCTTCATAGGACACTACTGTTGAGAACTAATAGATGAGAACTGGAAGTAGATATGCCAACCCTCAGCCTTCTTTTATGCATTTATGCAGAAATAATGGGTTTGTTGCCTTGAGAAAGAGATGAGATGGCATTTGATGCATGTGAAGACACATGACTGAAAAATGGCATCTCAATTGTCTGTACATCTGGCAATGTAAATAATCATGCATTTTTGCAAGCTGCTATTTCTTTGTATTTCTTTACTATATTTTTGCATTTAATCTGGGAAATGTACAGCAATGATCTTAGCTATACAGTTACCTGGTGAAGCAGCATGATGCTCTTTGTACAACCTGGCTACTTGCAGAGCCTGAGCACACCAGTAACTATATACTGCTTTTTTATTTTTAGCATAGTTCAAGATAACGTCAGCCCCTTCCCCATCCTGGCCAACCCATTCTTACCTTAATCAAATAATTGACTCACATGAGTTTTGGACAACTGAATCTTTGACAGGTTAAATCAGAAAGCTTTGCTGTTACACTGCTGGTTCAGGCTGGTACTCTCTGATTAGTGGTCATGACCATACAAAGTGGGTTCTCGGTCTTAATGCACTCTCATATTGCACAGGTCCTGTGCTGCAAAAACTGTCATTGCAACAAGCAGTCTAGACAGCAGTTTCTGGAAGGAAGTAGGAATAAGTCATGCCCTAGGAGTAGCTCTTCCCACATAGGAGCACACTGAAGATAAAATTGTTCATGGTGAATGCCTCCATAGTCACCTGTGAAATCTGCTCTGGAGAGAGAGCTGCCAACAGAGAATTATTCATGGTAAAATGACAATCTTTAATTTTCTTTCAGTGGGCCTTTTTATATTTCCAGTGACTTTTTTTCCTTCCCAATTTGTGATTTTATATATATTATTATGGATGGTATTACCCTAGGTTTTTACTGTGAAAGCTTTCTTAAAATGAGGTTATAACTTTATGAAAATCAGTTAATTTAATTCAAGACTTTATATAATTCCAATAATCAGGATAAAATTTTAATATAATATAAGCTGTTATTCTTTTCAGCTTCTTTTGACATTTTTTTTTTTTCATTATAGTTAGCCTTAATCATTTCTTCGCATTTGGGTTGGGAGATGACAAAAATATGTTACAGAACTCATTTCCATGTTTTAATTAGATATCTGAAAGCTCTGGAAATATAAACAACTTAACTGAATGAGTGATATAAAATCAGTCATTTATTGTTATTTCCTAATCTCAGTCACTGCCCTGAAGAACAGGAGAAAAAGGTCCGCTCTCAAAGTGGCAAGCATTTTTCTCCTTAAATTCACCTGGAAACATTAAAAAAATTACTTGAATTGCATGGTTTTACTCAAATTAGCCTGAAATATTGCAAAATCATATGCTGTTCGTTATCCATTTTGGAAAATAAAGAATATAAACCTTGTTCCAGTGGCTGTGATATATTTTTCTGTGAATTCAGAAGTGGAAGACAACAGTTTACATATGTAAGTTTTCTATCCCTGGTAATCTGAATATCATCTGAAAATCATCTGAATATAAAGATGCAGCATTTCTTAGAATCAGGCTGGAAAAATTAATCATTTGACATTGTATTTATTCCTAACGAGCTTTTTACAATACTTATTTTATCTAGTCTTCTTACACGCTTTGTGGATTAGACTCAAACATACAAAAAGCTAAATGCTTGTTGTAGTTATTCAAGGTAGGACTTCATCTATACCAAAATCTCATATGCTCATCTAAGTGGTTATTTAAAATACAGCTGCACAATCAATACAGACAAACCTGCAATCTCCAATACGTAGTCTTTAGTACAGAAAATTGGGAAAACAACCACCAAGAAACTAAGAGAGCAAAAATGGTGAGATTTCCCCCCTCCCCTACCCCCATAGGAACTATGGCTTGCCCATATCAGCAATTGCTAAAACAGGTGAGCTGTTGCTACAGCCTGAAGATAGCACAGCTGCAATTGTGCAGGTCTGTGTTGGGGTTCAAGAATCCTTTGCCCCACAGAGTATGGTGAGCCTTCCCACGTGGGAGGGATTTTGCTCAACAGTTTGGCCATGCCGTTGGATCAGTGTTTCTAATCCTTTCTTGAAAAAGTGCACCTTCCTCTGAGATGCTAAAATCCTGCTGACGTCAACAGGAACAGTAAATTTCCAGAAGCTCTGAAAATCAAGACATGACCAAACCCAATGAGATCAATTTTGCACTGCTCAGCCAAGAGTAAATTGCCCACCCCAGAGAGAGCTGCCTGCTCTCGCTAGTGTAGTCCACAGACCCCATCAGCAGCCCTCCATCCGTGCTCAGTGTTTCACGCTTCTACCCGCATCACAGCTGGAGTCCAATTTTATCCATTTTAAAACCCTCCAGCAAATGGGAGCTTTTCTCAGTGGCTCATTTCTATTGCCCTCATCTCCAACACAATTTCTGAGGGAAGGTTGAAAAGCCCATATAGGAAGCTATTTTGGTGATTAACCGTGCCTGTATACCAGGTGCAGGTGCCCAGGCGCTGGCGGGGGGCAGCGGGGCGGCCCCCGTGAGGGGAGCCCGGGGCTGCCCCATGCTGGACACGGCCGGTTCCAGCCGGTTCCAGCCGGTTCCAGCCGGTTCCAGCACACCCAGCGCAGGGCACGGCTGGGCCCCACAGCTGAGATGGCGGCTCCCGGGGGAAAGCCTGTGTGAGGAAGGGCAGACAATGTCACAGAGAGAGAGGCAGAGGGAACAAAAAGAGCGAGAAGCAGCAGAGGGAGCACCAGGGTCGGAAGAGGAGGAGGAAGAGGAAGTGCTCCACACCAGAGCAGAGATTCCCCTGCAAGCTCTGAAGGACCCATGATGGAGCAGACAAAAAGTGTGAGGAAGTGAGGGAGAGGAACCACCGTGTACCAACTGTAACTGCTGGAGTGAAGGAATGAAGTTGAGCTTGGGAATGTGGGGAGGAAATGTGGTGTTTTAATGTTTGTCTTTCTGTTTCCCAATATTCAAATTAGCAATTATATTTTCATTGGTTAATTTTCCACTGGTCTGATTTGTCCACATCAGTAATTAATAGTCAACCTGCCTGTCTTTACCTCAGCCCACAGGCTTTCTTATTTATGTTCTTATTTTTTCCACCTGAGGGGAGAAGTGAGCAAGCAGCTGGGTGGGAGTTTGGTTGTTAGTCAAAGATAACCCACCACAGCTGGTAGTTACACAGATTCTATACACCTCCTACTAAATGGCAACAAATTGCTATTTGTCCCACATTTAGGGTCTCCACTTAGAACACAAGAGAGAACATACATAACTTCTACATCACTGAAAGATTTATCCCATTGATTCCCAACTCTAGAACTACACAGCTAGGTTTTTTTTATACACAGCCATTTACTACTTAGTATAGTCTAGTTTAGGTGCCAAATTCCCTGCATAAAACTCTATGACACTTGGCTTTAATCCAACATAGTATGAGAAGTGCAGTAAGCACAGTTGAAGAAGGATGTCTTTATCTGCCAGGACATAGGCATTCAGGAGAGCAGCTGAAAGTCTCTTCCCTTTCTTACTGTATTTAATTCTTTACTTCCACTTCACCATCCCACTGTATAATCCACTCAGTATAGTAAGAAATCAGTGAAAGACTTCCTCCCTTAAAGATAACACTGGTTGTTTAAGCTGCTTTAGACTTAAGACAGTCAACTGCTGACTGTCCAGCTACATGACATCTGTAACATTTCTTTCCAAGGATTCAAGATTTTGGAAGCTAAGAAAATAAGTAAAAGGATTACATAAGTAGTACTGGGAGAAGAGGAAAGGGAAGGCATGAGGGTCTGGTAACTGACAAAATAAGAGGAAATATCAAATGCTATATGAGGGTTCCTAGGCAGGAACTTTGCGTAAAAGAAGAAAAATTTACTAAAGATTCAGCTTTGAGAAGGTGATATTTCTGCCACCTTTTAGTTCTCCAGAAAGAAGATACACAAAGGCAAATGAACATATGAAGCATGTGTTATTTATACAACTGAAAAGGTCACTAGATACCTAGCTTTCATACCTTCCATTTATCCTGCGTGAAGTTCTCCAGAAATTCCCAATTAGCCGAATAGTTAAGGAGTCATATTATTCACCTGTGAGCAAAACCTCATTATGCAGAAGTACTAGACTTTCAATTAAACAGTGAAATAACATGACATTTTGTGGTTTTTCTCTTGGTTTATGGATTTCTGTGTATGCTTGTTGCTTGTAATACATCCTCCACACAACAATCTGTTCTGTGGTACTTGCATCTCAAGAACTGTGTTAGTTATAGCTGTAAACACTTCTCAGGAGTTTTCTTCAATTTCCAGTCTTGTCTTTTATTATCATATAAATTAGTAGAATTTTTAGAACACAATTTTATTTTGCCTGTTCCAAAAGCCCAGCAATTTAATTTACTCAGTGATGCTTCTTTTTGGAAAGGTATTGCAAAAACACACTTTTCAGATATTACTTTTATTATGTAAGATGGAAAAAGAGGTTCTGTTTTACCAAAGCTCACTAGATAAAATCTGTTTACAACTTTGAGCTTATTCACAAAGGGAAAAATATGTCCTTGCTCAAATGACCAATGTGACCCCTGTGTTCTCTTTGGCTTGGTTTTTGTTCTGTGTTAAGAAATACTTAAATGGTCTTATTTTCTATAGATGAAAGGATACCCTGCCTACAGGCAAACTTCTTTCCAGATTTGTTTTTACCTGAAACATCCTAATTTTCTCTAAGAATATCTAATGGTAATAAGCATGTCCATATCCTAAACCTTTGGGGTTTGCCTCAGTCACCAATAAGAAATTATATTAAGTAATACTGTCTGCAGTGTCAACCAGTACATCACTGAACATGGTTAGTAGTAGAGGTAATAAGCAGCTTCTTCCTAATAAGAGTGATAT